GTGCCATACCCCGCTCTAGCCGAGCTGAGCCGTACCCCGTGCTAGCTGAGGCGTGCCGTACCCCATGCTAGCTGTGCCATACCCCGCTCTAGCCGAGCTGAGCCGTACCCCGTGCTAGCTGAGGCGTGCCGTACCCCATGCTAGCTGTGCCATACCCCGCTCTAGCCGAGCTGAGCCGTACCCCGTGCTAGCTGAGGCGTGCCGTACCCCATGCTAGCTGTGCCGTACCCCGCCCTAGCCAAGGCGTGCCGTACCTCGCGCTAGCTGAGCTGTGCCTTACCCCTCCCCAGCCAAGCCGTGCTAGGCCCCCACATTCTCAGGGCATGACGTATTCAGGTGAGGTGCATCCCTTCATCCTTCCCCCGCTAACTCCTCCCTGCCGGCAGCTTCCCCTAAAGATATTGGGGCCTCTCCAGGGACCACCGTACCCCGCCCTAGCCAAGGCGTGCCGTACCTCGCGCTAGCTGAGCTGTGCCTTACCCCTCCCCAGCCAAGCCGTGCTAGGCCCCCACATTCTCAGGGCATGACGTATTCAGGTGAGGTGCATCCCTTCATCCTTCCCCCGCTAACTCCTCCCTGCCGGCAGCTTCCCCTAAAGATATTGGGGCCTCTCCAGGGACCATTTTTTCATCTGAACACGGATGTGGAAATAACAGGACTTGGCTTCTCTTACGGGTGCTGGCCCGGCCCTGCCCCATAGGCAGGGTCTGTAAGTGAGACAGCCATCCCTGCCTTCCCTGCAGAGCCACACAGGAGAGCCAAAGGTTAGCGAGGGATAAAGCCTCTTGTTGGATGAGCTGGCTCGGGGGACTGGTCACAGGGCAGCCAGCAACGGCTCTGGCACAGACTTCAGCAAAATGGGGCTTTGGGTCACAGTCCTTTAGAGCCTAGCAAACAAAAGCAGCATTGTCAGCGCTGTGTGCTGTGCGGGGGCAGGGGCTCAGGACTGTAATCGGACAGTTTAATCCAATAGGAAAATTCCGCTTTGAGGGAAATGTCCTTTCACTCTGCAAAATGACCCTGGACAAATGACCCGTGGTGATGGAGGCAGAGCAAATGGTGGGCACTATGGACTAGAAACCAGAATCGGAATCCCTCCCCTGCCCGTAGGTCATACCTGCTCAGCACATCCCCCAACCTGCCGCTTCCCCCACACCCCAAATAGAGCAGCTACTAGATCGACTGAGGCGGCTGTAAAATTCACAAGCACTGTGGATTGGACTAGAGGACATTGGCAAATTCTCTGGGTACGGCTACACTGCACAGCTGTTTCGGGCTACCGGAGGTATCCCAAAATAGCTACCCCACACTGACACTGACCGCCCCTTCTTTTGAAATATTTTTCGAAATAACGGGTGCGCTATTTCACCATCCCGGTAAACCTCATTGTGTAGATGCGCCAAATTTCAAATAAGCTATTTTGAAATAGATTCTAAATCAGATATGCAATTTGCGCAGTATAAATTGCATATCTTATTTGGAGTTTAGGGTGCTATGTAGACGCATCCTTAGATGCCAATGCCTGGGAAAAGACAGCTTTTCTAGTGGGATCTGGCCTGAGTTTAAGTTTATGCCCTTTGGATTAATTAGTGCAGGGGCTATTTTTCAGAGGCTTGTCAGCAAGCGGCTGCAGGGCTTTCAGGTCTTCTTCAGGGCCTATGTGCATAGCCTGGCTATTTTTAGTGATTCTTTGCAAGACCACCTGTGCCATTTGGGATCAGAATTGCAGAGGCTAAGAGGAACCAATGTCTCTGTGTCCAAATGCAAGACGGGGGCCGGGGATTTAGGACACAGGGTGGGCATGAGATTTCTTCATACTGATTCTTTAAAAGGAGAAGCTGTTTGGAATTCATCTGTCTTACCAACCAAAAAGCATAGCCAAGCCACTAGAGGTCTGGCTAGCTAGTCCTGGAGGTTTGTAAAAGGGATTGGTGAAATTGTGCTCCCTTTAACTGACTTTACAAAGCCACAAATAGACATCCGAAGAAGTGGGCTGTGCCCACGAAAGCTCATGATCCCATCTACATGTTTGATTAAAACATGCTACCAGACCATTTGTTGTTTTTTAAGTTTTTCGTGTTAGGGACTAACTCGGCTCCCTCCCCCCCCCTGAAACTTACAAAGCCAGACAGGGTGGCACACACTGTGCCTGGGAAGAGGGCTTCAAGGACATGAAAGAGGCTTTGTCTAAAGAGCCAATTTGTGTCAGACCCAAATTCAGCAAACTCTTTGTGGTTTGCTCTGATGCTCCCAACATTAGGTTAGTCACAGGGCTAATGCAGGTTGGAGCAAGGGACAAGAAGCCCCACCTTAAGTAAAAAAAAAAACTTAACCCGTTCCCCCATATCAAGCTGTGCTGCCATCGAGGGAAAACATTATGCCATACTTTGGGCTATTAAACAACTCCCACCTTCGCTCTGCAATAGGAATGTAGGGGTCTAACAGCCCATGCCCCGCTGGTGTGGGTGCACCAAGCCTCAGGGATCTGTTTGAACCCTACACTGCAGTCTTGCTCTGCAGGAGCCTGACGTTAAGGAAAAGAAAATCTAGTGGTAAGAGGCCTTATTAAGAACAGTGGGACCCTGAGGGATATCCAGGAGGCACCTCTTCCTTCTCCTTTTGTGCACCGGGGTGTGAGGTGGGCAGTCCAGCTGCCAGCTCCTGCTGAGGTTCCCATGCCTCAAACGACACTGGAGGAGGGGTTGGTCTCACTCTCCCAGGTGGTATTGTTGTTAAAATAGGCATTAGAACACCAAGAATGTGCTTACAATTGGAGGGGGTGCCTGCCTTAATCTCACCTGTAACATCTCTTGCCCCTACGGCCGGGTAACATTTGAGTAGTTGTATGGGAAGCCTCTGTGTCAATCACCAGACAGGAGAGAGCCTGTGACAGGGGAGAGGTGCAGCTCTCCAGCCAGCCTGTCCTACACCTGTGCCACCAGACGGACTGTTGCGGGAGGACAGAGGATGGGAGATGACAGGACACAGCTGGAGAAGATGAGTCGTGCCAGGGGATTCCGCTACTCAGCGGAGTTGGCAGCTTGGACAGGAGGCGAGGACAAAAACCCTTAACAAGAAGGAACTGTCTCTGACTGGGGGTAAGTGCAGGGAGAGGCAGGTTTGCCAGGCATAAGCAAGAGGTCCTCTGTGCTTAGTCTGCTTTAGCCCAAAAGGACACATAGCTTGCGTATCGTGAAAGATAACTGACACTGAAGAGTGCAACTCAGTTGTGTGCATCTCTGCCTACCTGCTTTAACCTTGCAAACAACTGTTTCCTTTTCCTGTTCAATACACCTGTATGTAATTGATTACAGGATTGGCTACAAGAATTGTCTTTAGGGTCAGCAGGGGTGGCAGGTATAATAAGTGGGGGAGGCACAGCCTTCCCAAACTACCAGCCTGGCCCCACCCAGACTCCACCCCCCCAGAATACCTGCTGCAGGTGTATTGGGGGCAGAGTGTTGCTGCCCCTGAGTGCCCATGCTCCCTGGCCAGGGAGGCTGGGGCCGTGTTTTGGAGGGGAGGGGGAAGCTTGGCCCCCATGGGGGCAGGGCCTGGCCTGAGGGGCTTAACTCCCCCCGCCCTATCTTCACCCACCACCCATCGGTGTCAGAACTTAGTTTGAGCTGTCCTAAGTGATCAGTTCTTTAGGGCTGGAAATAAGGGACCAGCTACTGCAAAGGCAGGTTTCTGCCTAGCAAGATAGATCAGAAGAACCATGGGGGCTGGGAGGCCCCATGGTTAGGCTGCTAGAGTGCCTGAGGAGTTCGATACTTGGCTGGTGAAAGCTAAGTACAGAACTCACAGCTAGTTTGGGGCTTCTGCCCTGGTTCCTAGGGGCCTGTCCTGAGGTTGGCCCCCACACTCTCCAATCGCTGTAGGAGGCCTTACCACCAGTACCTAAAAGGGTGTTACAAGGAGGAGGGAGAGAAATTGTTCTCCTTGGCCTCTGAGGATAGGACAAGCAATGGGCTTAAACTGCAGCAAGGGAGGTTTAGGTCGGACATTAGGAGAAACTTCCTACCTGTCAGGGTGGTCAAACACTGGAATAAATTGCCCAGGGAGGTTGTGGAATCCCCATCTCTGGAGATATTTAAGAGTAGGCTGGATGGATCTATCAGGGATGGTTTAGGTCCTGCCGTGAGGACGGGGGGCTGGACTCCATGACCTTGCGGAAGTCCCTTCCAGTCCTAGTGTTCTGTGATTCTAATGTGGGGGGAGAGCAGGTCACTGAAGATGGGCTCCAACAGCAGAACCGGGCCCAGGGCCCAGCGGGAACCAGACGGTGGCTTTGGTTCATGGATGACAGTTCTCAGGCAGCTCCTGTCCAGCGGGAGATTTCCAACGGGCAAGCTCCTTAACCAAATGCCCCAGAGCGAGGGAGAGAAAAGCGCTCTGCAGGCTCGTGCTGTCTGGGTCTGTTGGTGAAAGGCCGGAGAGAAACCGAGCCACGGTGCTGTGGTTGCTGGAGCCGGGCCATGGCCTGGGGGTGCGCAGGGCAGAGAACGGTGCGTCTGTCCCTGCTGCTCAGGCCGCAGCCTCTGCCCTTGTCAGCCCCGGAGCGGGGAGGAGGGGAGGGGAGGGGGGGTTCTGTACGGATCCCTGATACAGGGGACTCTGCAGCAGAGCCGGGCCGGGAGAGCCAGAGTGTCCCCACTGCGGGTGGGCGATCTTTGCCTGTTACCTTAAGCACACAAGCGCCTGTGCTGCAGGGAGCAGGGCTCCGT